TTTAGAAATAAATATTCGTATAAATAAATTCAAAATAAATTTTTATAGAATATTTAAATTTAATTATATTCATTTAAAAATTAGGTTAAACAAATCATTAATTGAGCCATAATTAGATTAACATTGAGTTTGAAAAAATTGATCCTACTTATAATATATATGAATCTTGGAATATCTTTTTTTTTTTTTTTTTATAACAAATCTTGCAATATCTTTTTATCGGTTCAGGATTTAGCACGAGTCATATCATAGATATGATTTACAAAAGATTAGATAATAATTTAAACTTTGGTGGTAATATCTTTATCGAAACAGGATTCAAACTGATCTATATATATAAGTCATACTACATTGCTTTTTTCAACAACTCAAGAGAATGGAAAGAGAACGTCGTTACTGCTGCACAAGAATGGAAAAAAAATCAATGTTTGAATGGGAGGAGTTGAAAAAATTGAAGAAGGGCTCCAATGCAGATATCTACCTTGCTGTTATCACTGCTCCACAAGAATGGAAAGAGAATGTCGTTATTATGAAGAGTTCAAGGCCTTACTCAATGGAATCACTGCAAAAGGAAGAAAAGATAATGAGATCATTCATTGGTTGTGAAGAAATCCATCAATGCTCTTTCAGCCAATTCACTGAGGAGAAAGGTAAACTCATCTACAATCTCTCAATGGAATGTGCACTTTTTGGTTCTATGGGAGATTTAATTAGGAAGAGGGCACTCTTGGAGAGTGAAGTAAGAGTGTACACGCGTATGCTTCTCAAAGGACTTTCTCTCATTCATAAAAGTGGAATTGTTCATTGTGATCTCAATCCAGATAACATTCTTCTCTTTCCTTCATGCAACGATGAAGCAAGCTATAAAGTAAAGATTGCAAATTTTGGATTGTCCAAGACAAAAGAAGAGACAATCAAAGATAAGATCAAGTTTAGAGGGACACCGTTTTACATGTCACCAGAATCAGTTATGGGTGAGATTGAAACACCATTGGATATATGGTCTCTTGGATGCACAGTCATTGAGATGGTTACTGGGTTACCTATATGGAGTAATCTTGGAAGTAAGGCAGACTTAATGTTTAAGCTTGCTTTTCTTAAAGAAGCACCAGAGATACCTGATGGAATAAGCCACGAGTGCAAAGATTTCTTGAGCAAATGTTTCATCAAGGATCCTAGCAAAAGATGGAGCGCCAACATGCTTCTCAACCATCCTTTTCTGTTTGCTCCATATGATATGTTTAGAGGTTATGAAAGCTTTTCTATGGTTAATTCGTCATATTTCTCTTATGATTGTAATCTTGTGTCTTTCAAGGTTTAACATTCATCTGTTCTTGAATGTACCTTGGTTTTTTTTTTCTTGTTTCTTTTCTTTGAGGTTGACGCTTCTGCATAGATGATAAAGGATAAGATATATTAAGTTAGTTATAGTTAGTTATGTCAGTTATTTGTTAGTTAGGTAGTTATTCCATTCTTCTTTTATCTGTTCTAGTCTTTCTCCTCTGCTATATATATATATATATAGTAGCTTGTAATCCTTTTTTTCTTTAATTCAATACATTGAGAATTGTTCAGTTTACATTCCTTATACATTCCTTGTTTTCACTCTGTGAGTGAGATTTCGTTTATGTCATCAAGGTCTGATACCTTTCAATAGAGAAGCAGAAAATGCTACCGATCGTAACAGCAATGCTATGCCTTTTTTCCTTTTATTTTCGGTGTTATTCGAATTTCGAGCAGAGGATGCTCCTCAAGATAATCATATAGTTATTTATAACAATAATCTTTTTTTTTCTTATAATTATTTTAATTGGTTATCGTTTAAGGCATAACATTACATTCTGTTTTAATTGGGTAAGAGGATACATTTGGTTCTGTTTTTGTATGTTTTTTATGTTAGTGAAAAGCCCTGCGAACGAGGTAAAATTCAACACTTTTGTAAATATATTTCTCTGTTCAACACAAAAATACACCATGACAATGTGATGGCATTGTGTGTATCCAATTAATTAATCGACATATATATTACTTATATCTCTAACAATACACCTAAGTAAAAATAATTTGACACAAGTATCTATAAGGCTAAAACAAAGTTTAACCACTCACACTTACCCAAAAAAAAAAAGTGTAACCACTCAAATATTTGCCTAAGACCAGTAAGGTAGAACACCAAATCTATATAATTCTTAACAAAACATCTAATTTCAACGAGACTAATTTGAATTCAGTTTCAGTTTAATTTCCAAAACTAGAGTTTGATCTCCTTGTGTATTTGATTAAGCAGTTTGAGCTTAATTTTGTGTATTTCAACAAAAAAAGATTTATCCAAAAGAAGATTTATTCTTAAGCAGTTTCTTTGGTGCTTCATATTCCTCAAGAAGCGTGCAGGATCAATATGAAGAAAAATCATATTCACTTTTCTGAGGAAAAAAACAAACTGACAATTACCTTGATTTATAAACAGACAATAAATAGAGAGGTCAAAACTATGGAGTCAAGCTTCCCTTCTTTCTTCCTTAAAAGTTGGCACATAATGCCTATAATATTTCTTAAAATTTTAATATGCATACCAATACTAATGAGACAATTACTTTGTAGTGCCGTGAAAAAACAAATTACCTCCCGTCTCCCAAATCTGTTCATCTGTGTACTCTTCCAGTGAGTCCAGGTTGCTTCTTACATTCCCTTCAAACATTTGTTAGTGTTGTCTATCAAAATTTGTTCAGCAACAGGTTCCACAATTCATAAAAGTGCTTCCACTAGAGTTGTTTTTCCACTTCCTGTTCTTCTCACAATGCCAGTTTTTTTTTTATCCAGCACAAGTAAAACAAGAGGCAAGTGAGGAGCATACCAAACCTACATCACACACTGCCTCATTAAGCATAGATATCATAAACTTAAACTTGGACCAAAAAGTATAACTGTAGTATTCAACTCAGAATGAAACAAGTGGATAATAACCTTTGTAAGGTACCTTTAAATCCTGGATATGAACCTCTCCAAATGAAGGCCAAGAATGATCTGGCTGGTTTTCTTTAATTACAAGAGGAGCTTCACTTGGGAAGTATTCTTTCTACAGATATAATTTTGTTCTCCAAATTGCAAAGAAATCAGATTAAATTAAATTGTAGTGCGTTCAGATTAAGCCAATATGTCACAACCAATCCCACAATTCCTTGACAAAAACAAAATTGAACTAGGAAAGGTATCAAGTTTTATGCCTTGTGTCATGAGGAGTTAAGTAAGACTAGTGATGTATGTAATTTGAACTACTCCTACCAGGAACAGTAATTGAATTTGGAAAATATATCAAGAAAACCAAACAGAAGGCAAATTTGACAGTGGATAAAATATCCAATCTGAAAGTCAGTCATTCCATTGCACAAGCACAGTATAATTTCGGTTGGGAATATCTGTCTATCAATTTCATATTCATGTTATTAAATCTTGATTCTTGTTCAAAACAAAAATTTAAACAAAAAATTACGTTCAATAGGGTGATTTGTAAAAAAGGAATTAAAAAAATAGAGAAATCAAACTGTCAAATATCATGCACTAAGCCAAGATAAATAAGTTGTCTCTACAAAATAAACTAGTGAAAAACTATCAACATACTCTATTAGAAAGTTGCCCACTTGGGGTGGAATCAAAAAATGACAGTAGTGCATTTTATTGAAGAGCATACATAGTGGCTGTCTTATATAAATAAATTTAAACCTTTGTTTAAATATTTGTATAAGTAAATCTGAAAAAATTTGTATAGACTATTTAAATTTATATAATTATTTAAATATTAGATTAAACAAATCATTATTGAGCAATAATACAACTAAATTTGAGTTTGAAAAAATTGAATCAGTAAAATATCCCCTAAGTTTTGAACTAAACATCCTTAGCATACATATATAAAGTTGAAGATGGATTTCGGGAGTTCGTTGTCCTAGCAAAATGATCACGCCCTAATCTGAGATAAAGATGAAGGCAGATTTAGAGAAATTGATCATAGCAAAAAGATCACACCCCATTCCGAGATAAAGATTAAGAAGGATTTGGAGAGATGTGGCCCTAGCAAAAGAATCAAACCCCAATCCGAGATAAAGATAAAGAAGGATTTGGAGAGATGTGATCCTAGCAAAAGGATCGCACCTCAATCCGAGATAAAGATGAAGAAGGATTTGGAGAGATTGTGATCCTAGCAAAATGATCACACCCTAATCTAAGATATAGATGAAGACGGATTTGGAGAGATGTGATCTTAGCAAAAGGATCACACCCCAATCTGAGACTAAGATAAAGACAGAGAGATCGTGATCCAAACGAAAAGATTGCATCCCAATCCGAGATGAAGCTCAACTTAAGACTTAGGCGAAAGAAGTTATATCAAGAGCCATAATATACTAAGCCAAGCTAAAATAGAAAGGCAAAGATACCACCCTAAAAAATGACGAATGGCTAAAGTCAAATTAAATAAGAAAGCCATGGCATACGAACCTAGGCTCAAAATCAAGAAGGTGCACATCGCCTTTATAAACAAGAAACCTTGGCATAGAAGTCAAGACAAACTAAAGAGCCACGATATGTGAAGCAAGGCTTAAGCAAAATACGGTGAAAAGCCAATTCTGGAAATTTAAGACGCCTCTGACCAAATCACAAATACAAGAGCCACGATATGCTAAGCTGGGCTGAAAAAAGAGAATACTGCCTTCACAAACATGACTGGTAAAAAAGCCAAGTATAGATAAAAAGGTCATCGCGAAAGAAGCGAGTATAACGTCCGGCCGCTTCAAGAATCAACGACTATCCCCACATACTAACACGAAACTTTTCAGTGTGCTTTTTCCTCACTCGCGCACTTCCTGAGAAAACTTTCCAAGAGGTCACCCATCCCAGAATTGCTCCAAGTCAAGCACGCTTAACTGTGGAGTTCTTTCTTTTAGGGCTACCGAAAAGCAAATGCATCTTGTTAGTATAGGTAGTACCAATTAATTCTTATAAGCTATCTCAAACTGTACAGTCTCACACCTGCACAATCTTTGGAATCCCTCTCTTTCGGGTGTCGATTCGATTCATTCATGCATGTAACCCCCCGCTGGAGGCCTGTCAAGAGCCGCTCCTTGTCCATGCCCATTCGCACCGGCGATCACTCCCCGCCTTCATCAGCGCTCGGGATGTTACATGCCCACCAGCTTCCGCCTGGTTCGTCCTCGAACAACACCGTACTGGAATAGAGGCCCTGCTCTGATACCACTCTCTCTCTTTCTTTCTCTTTTTCTCCTGGTGGCTCGATGGGTTGGGAAGAAGAAATGGGGTCCTTTAGTTGCTTTGATCACATAACTTATGTTAAGTGACTTTAAGCGGGTATTAGCTCATCTATCTATTTAATTCTATTCACCGCCAAACTTTACCCAAAGGTCTGGAATATTTTTCTAGGAATATTTCCACTTCCATTTTTATATTTTGGGTACTTTTTCCTACACCCATTTATACCCCTTAATTTTCACTGAGTACACTTTTTACCTCAAAAGTGACCCCAATTCACTTAATTAAGCTCTATTCTTAATTTTACTCATTAATACATGTTTAATTACTTAATTACATGTAATCTACTAAATAATTAGGCTAGGGCTATTATAGTCACCCCACCTTTTTGTGATTTTGTCCGCAAAATCAATAACATACCTGTCCTTAAACTCAGGATATTGCCGGAGAAGCTCGTCCTCCCGCTCCCAAGTGGACTCTTCAGGCGCCCTTCCTTCCCATTGAACTTTCACCATAAGAATGGATTTATTCCTCAGCCTCTTCTCATCTGTTTCGAGTATTTTCAGTGGCCCTACGGGAGTTTTCAAATTCTCCCGAATCTCAACATCATCAGGTTGAACCACATGAGAAGGATCAGCTACATACTTCCTCAACTGAGAAACATGGAACACATCGTGTAAATTTGATAATTGAGGAGGCAAGGCAAGCTGGTAGGCAACCGGTCCTACCCTACGTAGAATCTGGTAGGGTCCAATAAATCTCAGACTCAGCTTCCTCACTCCAAGGGCTCGTCCAATACCCGTAACCGGTGACAACTTTAAAAACACATGATTTCCCTCCTCAAACTCTAGAGGCCGATGTTTGAGATCATAATAACTTTTCTGGCGATCTTGAGCCTTTTTCAGACGATCCCTAATCATTTTAATCTGCTCAGTGGTCTCTTGAACAAAATCCAATCCAAATCGCTCTGTGTCCCCAACCTCTGACCAGCAAGTAGGTGTCCTACACCTGCGACCATACAAGGCCTCGTAGGGAGCCATACCCAGACTAGCATGAAAA